AGCAGTTTGACATCCCTGCTTTAGTGCTATTTAAATAAAATTAAATACCTATTAAATGTGCATTTCTAAGGTAGTCTTACAAAGTGGTAGTCTTCAGTTATCATTATACTATTTAAGTCACTCAGAAAACTGAATGCTTTTACAACTAAAAACTATGGGAATGAAGTTCTTTTGATTTCACTTAACTCAATTAAAATTCTTAGCAAGTTAAATATATTGAATTGTTTATCTATGGCAAGACATGTAGGACACCAATTAAGTTTACATGGAAAAATGCAAATTTGTGTTTTGCGAATGTCAAGTTGACAGAAGCTTAATAATGTAAAAAGGACTAATCAACGCAGAATATGTTTAGTGTCAGTAAATATTTATATTGAAGAATGTTTCCCATGAATGATGAAATGCCACAGGCAGTTTATTCTGAATTTTATTAATTACATTCTATGACTCGGATCACCATATTCTTGCAATTTCTGTATCTTTTTGTACAATATACATAAGCTATTATGTAGACTAGGGCGGTAAATGGCATATGGGATGCCCATTCAAATTATTTTTACTCCATTATTTAAAGCTGATAATAAATTGCAATTTTTAACTTGATCTCTTCCAATTCTGTCTTTAAGAATAGAATGTAATAGTTCTTTAGCTGAAGACAAATCCTTCATACTTTTGACTTTTCTGCTTTTCATTTTTATTTTACTGTATGCCACAAAGCCTAAAGTGATGAGGCGTTTTTCAGGAGAAATGTTGCTTACTAGAGCAATTATCAATCTAAGCTGCGGGGTTGTCAAAAGAACTGCAAAAGGAGGAACAGCCAGGGAGACTACTAGCCATTTTTTCTTTGATTTACAATGTGCTACAGGGTTGCTTGGCTTTCTTCTGTTTAATATGAAGTTTCTGGAGGAAAATTATGCAGAACTTTGGAATTTGCTGTTGTTAGGCAGTTGATATGTCACTGGAATTGTGCCTGGAATTAGCTGTGGAATGAATATGAGCAAAGAAAGTGAAATGTAGTGCCAAAATACTCCTGGTCACTATGTTTCCTGATCTAAAAATAAATGAAAATGTCCTATGAATTTTTTCTTTTTAGAATTAAGAAATATATATTTAAAAAGAGATAGAAATTTAATTCTAAAAGTGCAATGAAAGATGTACTTTGTTAAGCTAATTCTAACCATGTTTTCACTTTGGAGCAAAATCAAAACTGGCAACTTTTTTTTTTTGCATTAATGTCTGTCTGTTTTTGTCTATCTAGTTTTGTGATTTTAGTCTCAGTCACTTGGATTATTAAGGTTTTTTTTTAAAAAAAAAAAGTACAGGAGGAAATATCTTTGATGTATGGATGTAATATATAGTTCAATGTGCATATAGGCTGGCCTTTGCTTGATCCTTGAGAATGTGGGGATAATGTCTGGCTGATGTTTTTCAAACAGCAGGTAACCTAGGGTAAACTCCAATAGGGGTCCATGTTTCTGTAGCCTCATAGGTATTCACACAGATGGGGGACATCTTGTGAACTCTCACTGGGGTCATGCTAAACTGCAAATCATTTATTGAAATTTCTGAAGTTTGGGGTATGAAGTATTCTCTGGTTGAGCACCGAAGCTCTTAATTTGCTTAGATAGCTAAGGATCCAAATTCGGGCAAAAGAAAAACATATGCTCAGAGAATTAATGTATATTATGGAAGTATTTTTATAATACAGGTAGTCCTCGACTTACAGCAGTTCATTTAGTGATTATTCAAAATGAAATGAAAAAAGTGACTTATAACCATTTTTCACAGTTATGACGTTTGCAGCATCCCCATGATCACGTGATCAAATTTTAGATGCTTTGCAACCACTTCATGCTTATGACCATTGCTGTGTCCCAACGTTACGTGATCACCTTTTGCATACTTCTGACAAGCAAAGTCAAGGGGGAAGACAGATTCATTTAACAACAAGGTTACTAACTTATCAACTGCAGTGGTTCACTTAACAACTGTGGCAAGAAAGGTCATAAAATGGGGCAAAACTCAACACATCTCACTTGACAACAGAAATTTTGGGCTCAATTGTGGTCGTAAGTCAAGGACTTACCTGTACTGCTGTTATAAGTCGTCTTGTAACTTCTTTCATTGAATGAGTGACCATTAAATAAGAACTACCAGCAATTGCTCTAAATTCCAAAGAACACTAATATTAGCACATTTCAATGTCCTCTCAACAGAAGTTCTTGAGGAGAAATATAAAGTATTTCCTTACAGACTTAAGATTGTGCTCTTGTGGCGAGGGATCCATTGAATCCATATTTTAATGGTCCCCAACCTTTTCTGCATCAGGGACTATTTTTCAGAAAAAAGATTTTTTCCATAGACCAGGCGGGGATGAGGGGGATGGTTTTGCATGCTTCCTAAATCCTGCACACACGCAGATGCAGCTTTGCTCACTTCCAGGGCCCGGTTCCTAAGAGGTTGGGTACCCGTGCCATAATTCATGCCCTGTTATGTTCCATTCTAAAAGAATGGAAGGGCCTACCTCCTAATGCTCTACTTGGCAAAATATATGGGCTATTCTGATTTATTTTATGTGGATTTACTTTTTATGAAACTGCTGCCATTTTGCATCCTTGAACGTGGATATACTTTTATACTCTCTTTTAAACTAGAAATGTCCTGATCAGTTCAATGGCTTAGTTCTAATGTTACATTGCTTTAATTTATTTATTTAAGCTGTTTAATTATTTTATTAAATCAGTGTTCCGATTTGTGACTCTAATAAAGATTACTATATACAGCCAGTTGATGGCCAGCCAAGAGACAATAAGTTGTTTGTAATTCTGCAGACGATAAGCTGGGCTAGGGTGAAATTCCCTGAAACATGTTCTTGATAAGTATTAAGAGTGTTAGACAGAAATATATACCTATTCACATTTTGTCTGCATACCAGAAACTCCAAAAGTAGTAGCAGATATGCCTCTGGAGCTGGTCAGTATTTGTAGAGCACTTCTTGCTGGGGGCTGTAGGTCTGTTCTGAGATTCAAGGTTTTTTGGAGGATTTTGCCACCTTCTAATCCTTTTTTAAGAGATGAGGAGTATAAATAATAACATTGGGAGATGGCTTCATGGCATGTCTTATCCGTGGCATATCTTACCAGTGACTTGGTTATAACCTCAAACAGACTGTGCCAGAGGTATTTTTTTTATAGTTCTAGCAGACACTTCTTGGGGAATATCTCATTACATCTTCATTAAAGATGTAATGTGATTTGAGTGGGAACTCAGATAAGTGACCTTCTGACAAAAATAAGATATCACTTCTAGTAGACAACACCTGAATATAGTCTGACAATATCTGATCAATAAGAGACCCTTTGCTAGAAGTTCTTTTATGGTAAACAAACATTATGGGAAACATTGCTTCTAGTGCAGGGGTGTCAAACTGCCGGCCTGCGGCCCGGATGTGTCATCTGGAAGCCACACTCACCCCATTGCCGGCAATGGCAAAACTCTGTGCGACATCATGTGACGTCGCAAGTTTGACATGTCTGTTCTAGTGTGTAGCCATAGCTTCTCAGACTTCAGCAGGTGTTAGAGTAGGAAGCTCATGCATTCCTTTTAGTTTTTAAAAGTACAAACATAGATGAGAGGGTCACAGGAAAGAGTGATAATCATACAATCTATAAAGTTTGCTGAGTGACTTTTTTCAAGCATGTGTGGAGGAATTTATGCACACAGTTATTTATTACATTTGCAAAAAGAAAAAAAAGGGTCCATACCCATATCTCCTCAATAGTCTTCCATGATACCGCTACATCCTACTATGTTGAGAATGGAATCATTTAGCCCAGTTTAATCCAAATAAACTGAAGTGGGAATTATGAAAGGGAAACTTGGAGTGTCAAGCTTGGTTTTTCTTCTTTTGTGCAAGAAGAAAATGAGCTAATAATACACTTTATTATGGGCTGTAAGAATAAGGAACACTAGTTTACCTTATTGGAATTATCTGTAGTAATTCTGATTAGGTAGATTAGCTCTTATTCCCAGGTAAACATGTTTAGGACTTCAAACAGGATTAAAAGTTCCAAATATATTTACCGGGGAATAAGAAGCTCATTTGCTAGACCCACCATCTTCTTATTCCTCTCCATGTATGAATTATCTCTTCAATAAACTCTTATATCTATGGAGACTGTCCATTTATGGAGAATTCTGATTCTCCAGAATCCTCAATTAGATGATAATCCTTCATGAATAGGTATCCATTGCAGACATTCACTTTTTCACATTGAACCTCTTTTTTAAAAATGTGAAGCAGTAACCGTTTCTTCTCCATCTTGCCTGCCTCCATTTCAGCTTTAAATTTTCATTATTTGCAGCTCTGTTGCCTGTTTGCTCTATTTAGGTTGTATTTCCAACTAAATCTGGAAACCTGAATTTTTTTTTAGAAATGTAGATCTTCTGTTACTGGTCAAACAAAAGATGATAAAGATTATTAGTGCATGAGGTAAATCCATGTACAGAAAGTCTTTTTCCACATAAAAAATGAAATATCAGTTTTATAATATTTCTATTGAAAAAAAATGTGAACCCAAATATTTGGATTATTCCTGATTGCTGTGTTTCACTTTTTTGGTGCGGGGGTGCTTTCAAGTTAGTTTTTGACTCCTGGCAGTTGCCTGAAGAAGTTCCTGCAGTTTTCTTGTCAAAGTTTTTCAGAAGCGATTTGCCATTGCCTCCTACTTAGGACTGAGAGACTGGCCCAAGATCACCCAGTTGGGGTGTAACTAAGGTGCAGGTAATGCTCATAGTTTCTTGGTTTCTAGCCTGATATCTTATCCACTACACTAAGTTTCTATTAAATAGTAAACACTATTGATATTAAATCTCATTTATTTAAGGATTTCTCATCTAGAGCTTTTTGGGGGGGGGGTGTTTTGACTTGTCAATTCAAATATCATTAAGCATACATTCTTCGGCTGCTAATCTAATGGGAATAAATGCTTTATTTTCAGGTGTTACTCATAATATAGCATTGCTACGTGAGGTAATAAAGCATCCACGCTTTATCCAGGGAGACATCAGCACGAAGTTTCTTCCTGAGGTGTATACCGAAGGCTTCAAAGGTGAATTATGAAGGAGAATACTTTCTTACAGATAAATATGTGAAATAGCTACCCTTTCTTTTTTTTAACTGAAAAGAGTTTCTAATTTTATAAATTCTTCCTTAAATTCTAATTTTTGAGTTTTAATCTGGTAAAAGTTTTCTTAACTTCAAGGAGATTCAGATGTTAAGGATCTAATTACTTGACAATGTCGTAAAATAAAGCACATTTGGGAAAGGCCTGATTTTTGCATAACAAAATCTGTGTGTTTGTTTAGTTGGTAAGGAAGTACCAACAGGCAGGAAGAAAATTCTTACTTTATTTTACTCATCTTAGCAAATGATTTAAGTGGTATACTACTGCTTCAAATGAATTCATACTATGATCTGAGTTCAAAAACTTGATTCTGAAAAATAAAATTTACAGCAGGGAATTTCCAAATAAGCCTTTTATGTCTAGCGAGCATTTAGTGTGATTCTATTTAATTCTTCCATTAACTATGAGAGTAAAAGAATATGAGAAACCATAAAGTACTTGCATTCAGTTTTGAGCATGTGAGATTCAGCTTCCCATTTACATAAACTGAATTGTCAATTTAAGAAATAATTGTATAATCCTTTGCTTTTTTATCAAGTTAAGAGCTTTGAAGTCAACTATTCCTTTTATGCTTGAAATACACTTCCTGTTTATGGTAGTTAAACTGATAAGCTTGGATAGTACAAAGTGCACATGTGTTAGGGAGGAAATAATTCAATGAAATAAACATTGTTTTTTAACAATGTATTTTAATTCTATGAAATATCTTGACAGCTTTCCTATTAACCTCTGCTGGCAATTTTTAATTAATTTTTTTTAGTTGGAGTGAAGTACTTGACACATATTCAGGCTAATTTTCAAGTAAACGTTCCTTTTTATCAGTACAAAACACTTACATAGAGAATTGGAGAGACTAGAATTATTTATTTGTTAACCATCTATGAATGAGAGACAGTTTTTTATAGCTATAGAATGACATATGTATAAACAATAAACTTCCTTGTATTTGAAGCAAATGAAGACTTTATCTTTCTGTTTTCTTTTCTGAAATTCCCAAGCAAAATATTGTACTAGCATTAATAAGGAGATATTTTTTGTAAGTCAGCATGTTTTGTAATAAATATACTTGGTAGCTACTATCAGTGTATTTATTCCAAAATATCCTGGCTCATAAAAATAATTTTCCTCTTCATGGATCAAGGCTATCGAGTCCAACTTTGTAGAATTAGGCTTTTCTCCATACTCAGTACTCAAAATGGACTATGTTCAGGCAAAGCAAACTCAAAGGTAGATGACATAAAGAGGCAAGCAGACTTAGAAAAAGCTCCATTGTTTCTGGCTCCAGATTCTGTCAGCTATACTGCCACCCCTGCCAGTTATCTTAGCCAGTTAATGAATCATTAGAAAGCCTTTTCACTTGCCCAATGTCCTGTGCTTTCATCAGCCATCCTGGACAGCAAATATAAAGGGATACCACTGGTTGAAAGGGTCTGTCCATGTGATTTTGTAGAGGTGGAAAACTCTGGGCATATCCTTCTTTGCTGTTCTTTTTATAGAGACATTCAAACAAAATTTATCTTCCTGATTAATCGGTATCCTGTCTGTTCAGACACCGTTTATCTTCAGTAGCTGTTTAAAGACGAATGGATTATAGACACAGCACAGGTCTATAATCTAGATTCTGTGCAGCAGCACTAAAGATTTGTCAGAACCTGATGAGTAATCTATTATAGCTATTTTACACAATTATTATACCAAGCCTTTTGCTGTTATCAACTTGTTGCATTTTAATGTCTAATGATAATGACTATAGGCTTCATAATTTAAGTACTAATATTACATTAAAGCCTAGGGTGTGTTCTTCTTTATGTGCAACTGACAGATAGGATGCTAAATTAGGATTTTAATATAGATTTTATTTGTTATTTGTTATTATTTTATTTTAGAATTTTAAATTAGATACTCTGAGTATTTTTAATTGTGCTAGTGTTTGATTGCAATAAAGATTTGACATAACATGACAGCTATTAAGGAATAAAAAATTATGCATATAAGATATGTTATAAGTATATTTTGTAAGCTAAAAATTGGACTAAATAGTGCTATAACATTGACTGAAATCATTTTGCCATTTTTTATTCAGTATTGCTTAGTGCCATATGTAATAAATAGTACATAAAATGGCTTACAAACAAATTTACATCAGCTGAGGTTTTTATTTATTTATTTATTTATTTATGAGACTTATATACCGCTTTAAGTGCAAGCACTCTCTAAGCGGTGTACACCAGTAAGCAATGTATATATATATATTTACATTGCCCCCAACAATCTGGGTCCTCATTTTACCTACTTTTATTTTATTTTATACTTATTATTTTATATTTTATACTTATTTTTTATACTTATTATTTTATACATTTTATACTTATTATTTAAGGAGGAGCCTTCTGTGTGGCCCTGATCACGATGATCTTGCTACATTTAGAATATTTAATAAGTTTCAAAACAGAATTGATTAATCAGTTATCTTCACTGGCAAAAGCATCAGTGGATTAGATATGTAATCTTTTCAGGGAATAGGAGAACCAGGTAAAAATGCCCATATTCATGTTTTTTTAAAATATCATTCTTGAAGTAATAATAAAGAAAATATAAGAATATTCATGATTCCAATATAAAAAATAATATTCTTTCTTTAATCTATTTGCAGCAATGTATTTATTTATTTAAATTAATCCATATAGAAATATAGCTCAACTGTAGTTTGATTTAAATATAATTTATGCATAGGTAGGCTAACAAATTAACTTTGAAAATCATGTGCTATTTTCATTAATATAGTCAAAGAAACATGACTAGATTTTATATTAGTCCATGTAGATTCAGAATTAATGATTACAAAGGATTACAATTAATTACAAAATAAAATCATGGTTCTTTCCACTCATGATAAAAAAAGAAGAAGTAATCAATATTTTTCATTATTAAAATGCCTGTTTTGCCAAAAAGGCTGTTTTTGTTTAAGTCTCTTTATTTCAGTTGCTTATTGTTTGTATAGGCAAAGATTTTTCTTCACTTCTCTATAATTATAAAAAAAACCTCTAATCAGATGAACTATACAACATAAACATGAAGGATGTCGCAGCATGCTAAATTTGAAAATTATTCTGATTTTTTTCAATTAGTTCATTTTATTAGAAACTGAAATTTTCAGTAGGTACAAAGTAGTCACTTAACAGCCATGGTGTTTCGCTTAATGACTGTGGCAAAAATGTCATAAAATTGGGTGTGGTCATATGATGCCTCGCTTAACGATTACACCAGCACTGAATTTTCTGGTGCCAATTTTGGTCTTGCTGTAATTTTTTTTCAAAATGACTTAATTAGATTTATTTTTTCATATTCCCTTTTAAAAAATCTTTTAATTTGTATATCTCTATTGCTATCTCTTTCAACTTTTTTGACTTGTAAAATAAATGGAAAATAGTCCAGTGAAAATAAAGCATTTGAACCATTTAGGCTATTTGCATATGAGAAAAAACAAGAATTCTGTTTCCCTATTGTTGTATGGGGTAAACTTTGATTAGCAAATTAATACTAACAAGTTGAGGATAAATCAAACTCCTGAAATCCTTTGAAATTATTCATAGTTGCTATAAAGGGGGCACAGTGTGGCTCAGTGGTTAAAGATGCTGAACTTGCAGCTCGAAAGCTGACAGCCCGGGTTCAAGAACCAAGTGCCATGTAACAGGGTGAGCTCCAATACCTGCCCCAGCTCCTGCCTACCTAGCAGTTCGAAAGCACTCAAATGTGAGTAGATAAATAGGTACCACATCAGTGGGAAGGTAACAGCAATCTGTGCTCCTTGACCTATAGTCCTCGTAGCCACATGGCCATGGAAAATGTCTTTGGACAGCACTGGCTCCCTTGGCTAAGAAACAGAGGTAATGACTGCACCCTAGAGTCGAACATGATTGTCGAACATCTTACTTTGCTATATGATTAGCAGATGTTCAAATTCTTAAAATTGCCCCGGTTTGTAATAAGAATTATCAGAATGCATAAAAACTAATAATAATTTTAAAATTTTGGCAAAATATTTAACATTACTGCCAAGAAGATAGATGAAATATTGTACCAGAGCTAATAGGCCACTCTCTATAGGGGAGACAAGGAAAGGGGGAAATAAATAAGTCATCATCCTAATTGTGCAACTGTGTTCTTGCATCAGATGCAATGAAATATTACATAATCATCTCATTTGCCCAAAGATACTGTGACACAGGTGCCATTATTTTGACATTACAATGGCTAGCTATTGAAACCTAGATTGGTGGATTACTATTATAAGAAAGGATGATCTGAAATACCATATTTCCTTGTCATTCTTACTATCTATAGAGAGTGAGATGGTTGATGTATAAATTTAATAAATAAAATAATATAATAAATCCTCTATGCTGAATGTGGACATAGGTTACTGGGATTAATTTATGAAACTCTCAAATGTATTAGCTGAGCAATACTTTTTGAAAAATGATTTTTACAGACATTATACTGCACAAGAGAGTCTTGGATATTATTTATGACTTGGAGCATCTATGCATATCAAGTCAAAGCCCATGAATGACAAAGTGACAAGACCACTATCGACCTATTAGAAGGAAGGCTAGAATGGCATTTTAGTGGGAGTATTTTATACTTTGCTGGTTTGCCTTTTGGCATTGTACAGAATGTATGAACTATTAAGTGCTTCATACTTTGAGGTCCCAGTTTTGGCATTTGATAGATTTCCTAAGCATTCTATAAAATGCCTAATTTTACACATTGACGGTAACATATACATTCTGAAAAATAATTTTACAAGTAATGAAAAATTGTATGAGGAGCCCTGAAAAGACCAGCTCCTTGTCCTTGTACACTTTCCTGAGCTCCTGCCAGATTACTGCCTAACCAAACAAAAATGAATCAAGGTTCTGGCATGCTGCAGATCTCCACATCTGTCATTCTTTTTATTCCTGAAAGTATCACTACGTATCCTAGGCACTTCTAGAAAATAAAACAGTAAACGGGTACAAGCGAGATATTTAGAAGTGTGCACCCGGCCCAGAGAAGAGGTAAGATAAGCTGGAACGGTAGTTGGCATCTTGTGAGACTAAAGTTTGATGAGGGATCTTTCCTGTGCCTCTTATTCAGTGTGTACCTTATTTGAAGCCATCTCATTTTGCTGTTGGGCAATCTTCTGGCAAGAATTTATGATAAACGCTGTGACCTGCTTTAAAATTTCCTGTGTACCCATTGACATAGCAATCACTGTTCTAACAAAAATGAATTATGGAATATAATTAAGATGGTGATACATATAATGCATTTGAAATTTGATTTTGAAATCTAGGGCACAGATTGAAAGACTCAGAAAAAATGGAACTACTAGTAATAGCAGTATCTCTTTATATGGCTGAACGACTTAGATCACAGAGTTTTCTGGGAGTTCCAAGGTAAGTTTGATTCTAGAATACTTCGTTAGTTCATGGTGTCATGGAGAACTATTAAAAACTGACAAGATATTATTTGTGTCTTTTAAACATTTTGGATATGAATGTAGGTTCTTTTGCACATTACCTGTTAAAGATCTTCTGGACAATGTCAACATAGATTGTAGATGAACAATATAAAGTTTCAGATTATCTCAGAGTTTTGGGTGAAAGGTTTTAAAAATCCAGGAGGGGAGAAAATTAATATTTTTAAATTAACTATAATTATTTAATTTCATTTGAAATAAAATGAATTTATTTTTGTGCTGGCTGCTATCTAATTTTTGGATTGTGACCAGGTGAGTCACAGTATACCATGCCTAAATGAAAGTAAGTAAGTAGGTAGGAAGGTAGGAAGGAAGGAAGGAAGGAAGGAAGGAAGGAAGGAAGGAAGGAAGGAAGGAAGGAAGGAAAAATTTCTGTTTGTCAAACAGACTGCTGCTCAGATAGCAATCTTCTGTTCCAAACAACATGCAGAAATTCAGAAATGTGGAAGTTGTGATACTGTATGTATGTATTTATGTATTTATTTATTACATTTATTTATTTATTATATTTATTTATTACATTTATTTGTTGTCCATCTCATATCCAATGACTCTGGGAGGCTTACAGCATAAAAACTTTAAAGCATTAAAATATTAAAATCAACAATTGTAGAACACAGCAGATAAAATCATTATTAAATACAAACCATTAACACCAGATGGGAAAGTAGGAAGCTGGACATATGGGGTAGGGGTGGAGATGAGATTAAGTTTTAGTTAGTCAGCCACCTCCAATATGAAACTCCCCCATATTACAAACATAGCATGTCTAAGTTTTGGGAGAAATACTAATTTTTATATAAATCACCAAACCAGTATTTGCTCCATTGCTTTCATCTATATATTTAGGAATATACATTGAATATATTTATGTTGATAGAAATCTGCATGAAATTAATAGTTTATATGTTGCATGAATTTTCTGTCTCCTGGTGCAGTACTATCACTGTAAGCCTATTTTTATAACTTAGGCATATGTACACTAGTTATGACTGGACATTTCATTTTTGGGTGCTTTAAATTATATTTGGTTATTAAAATTGTTTTAATTGAATCTTCTACTTTTTATGGAGGGTAGCCTTATTAAATAGACATCTGCTCACACAATGGGAAGTTCCCTTCTGCTCTTCTCTGCATCCTCTGTGCTTGACGAATTTGCTCTAATTGAAATAATATAGTGATTTCTTAATTCTTTTTAAAGAAATAAAAACTCTAAAATGTAAAGTTATAGATGCAGCATTGTTTTTAAACATGCAATAATTGGACACCTAAATTCTATTTGGAAGCCTACATCTTGCCTATTGCTGATCTAAGATACATCTCTATTTTAGGATGCTTTTTGTGATGGAAAAGTAGTGTGAACTATTAAGCATATGCGGAAACTGAGATTTCTCTAAGGTGTGCTCTCCTGATATTATCTTTTGGGGATGGTATTATTATATTCACTGGATGACCTCTAAATGATCATTCTGGCAGCTGTGCTTGTGTTTGTAATACTTGGTACTGTGGTTGATTTCCATATTCCTCATCTTGGTGAGCCTCCTCTGAATGTGTTCCAATTTCTCACTGCTCTTTTTGTACAATGGCCTGCAGAAATGGAACTCCAGATGGGGTCTGACCAAGACAACATAGATTGCAGTAATAACCACCGATGATTTGAAGTATTCTCTTATTAAAGTACTATGAACTAGCATTTTATTCTATCTCATGTTTAGCTTGTGGCTTACAAGGATTCCCAGATTCCCTTTACAGATATGAGATATGATGACATGAGATGTGTTATATCTGACAGTGTACCTCCCCACCCCATCCCCAAATAACTAGATACAGGTAGTCCTCGACTTACAACATTTGTTTAGTGACCATTCAAACATACAACGGAACTGAAAAAAGTAACTTATGAATATTTCTCACACTTAAAGACCATTGCAGCATCTCCATGGTCACACGATCAAAATTCTGACACTGATTACGACACTGACTCATATGTATGACGGTTGCAGTGTCCCAGGGTCATGTGATCACCTTTTGCAAACTTCTGACTAGCAAAATCAATGGGGAAGCCAGTTTCACTTAACAACTATGTTACTAACTTAATAATTGCAGCAATTCACTAACAACAGTGGCAAGAAAAGTCATAAAATGAGGTACAATTTACTTAACTGACTTACTTAGCAGCAGAAATTTGGGGCTCAATTGTGGTCATAAGTCGAAGACTACCTGTATATTCCTACCACGAGTTTGCATTTTCTACTTTTTAGTTTCGAATTTTAAAAAGTACTGTTCATTCAGTTATTTTTCCCCTAAGGGCAGTGTCACAGATTTATTTCTTCAAGCTAATTGTCGAAATGTTTTCATATTATAGAAATCTAATTGACAGATGATATTCAGATAACAGAACTAGCGATTAACATGTGAAGGAGTTATGAATAGCAAATGTGTTTAAGTGCTATGTATACTTTGCATAGGTTTTACTCTATTTTAATACCTGGTTTATTATATAGTGGGTACCATTTTTTGGTAAAGATCAAGTTTATATTATGCAGTGAAACAAAAATCTTGCAATCATCATGATAAGAATACTGTTTCAAGTGGAAAACCTTTAACTTAAATGAAAGTAAGTTGTGTGAATATCTCCCCAGCTTAAAGTGCTGTTCATCTCATATATTTGGTTGGAATCTTATTTATATAGGAGATTAGGAGAATAAATATTCCAGGTGGGACTGTCTCATGAGTCTATCAGCATAAAGCTTGTACTTCTAAACTTAAACACCTACAGCACTTCCTATGTGTTGCTTGTATTGGCTGCTAATATTTTCCTATTATCCCTGTTAGTTTTGGCCTCCCATAACATGGAAAAACCCACTGTATTACCAACAGTCGCACATGTGGAAAAAACTGCCTCTATACTCAAAATGTGACATATTTCTTTTTAAAAAACAAAACAAAACAGCAGATAATTTATTTAAGATCGAAGTTAGTAGAATACCTTTCTTGCAACTTGGTGTCCTCTGGATGCACTTGATTTTAATTATAGTGGCTGGAAATTATAGAAGTTGAAATCAACACAATTGGAGGGTATGAAATGACAACAGAACCAGCTATTTAAAGACCATGTCTAGGTAGACTGGTCCCATTTTTCTTTCTTTCCTTTTGTTGGGCTTCCCTTTTGTTGTTCTGTTTCATTCATTCATTTGGATAATGAAATGGAGGCAACGGATTCTTGCAAAACGTAAGGATTGGAAAATTTCAGTGCTTAATTGAGACAAGTCAGAAATGAAAAGAAATATAAGGACATGCTATACAGGTATTCCTTGATTTAGAAACAGAATTGAGCCCAATATTTCTGCTGCTAAGTGAAACATCTGTTAAGTGAACGTGACCCCATTTTACGACCTTTCTTGCCATGGTTGTTAAGTGAATCATTGCGATTATTACATTAGTAACACGGTTATTAAATGAATCTGGCTTTCCCATTGACTACACTTGTCAAAAGGTCGCAAAAGGTGGTTACATGACACCAGGACACTGCAGCTGTCATAAATATGAATCAGTTGCCAAGTGGCTGAATTTTGATCATGGGACCACGGGGATACTGCAACGGGTGTAAGTGTGAAAAATGGTCATAAGTCACTTTTTTCAGTGTTGTTGTAACTTCGAACGGTCACTAAATGAACTGTTGTAAATCAAGAACTGCCTGAAACAGTTATATTTACATGGTTATTTCGAAGAAGCAAATCTATTTGGAGTAAAAATACTCTTGTGCATTGTGCAGCATTTTTTAATCTAAAGAAGGAACCTGCTGTGGTTCTCTGGAGTACTTTGAGCCAACAAGTACTTGGTGGTGTAAGATAGCGAAGCAGCCCTGTAAATAACTTGAGGTGATAACAATTTACTTGAGAGATGAGTGAATTTTTTGGTTCACCTTTGAGCATGCATTCATAATAGCTAATATAAGAACCTTAGCTTGGTAACGATTAGATACATTCTAAACTTACAGTTTCAAATAAACTTTTAATGAAAGATAATTTATATGTAGTAAGACAAAAAGAATTGAAAGAATTTTTTAAACCATGTCATCAATTATTTTAGTAGACTAGAGAAACTATCCATGGTTGTGTACTACAATATTAATAAAAACTATATGAAGCTCTCTGAGGCAGCAAGCTCAGGAAACAAGCACCACTTGGTTTTCTGGAAATGTTATAAAGGTAATGCAATGGATTCTTGAAAGCTGACTGAAGCAATGTTTTCTACAAAATACTGTTCATTTAGATGTAGTTATTCAATATAGTGGATGAATGATACAGAAAACCAAGGACATATGTTGTCCTACAGCAGTGGTTCTCAACCTGTGGGTCGGGACCCCATTTGGGGTCGAACGACCATTTCACGGGGGTCGCCAAACAACGCATCCACCATCTTTTTTCCCCCTTTTCCTTAGCTGTGCTACTCCCTTTTATTCTATTGGCTTTTGAAAGCCAATAGAATAGACTCTCTTGAATAGAGTCTAATTCTATTGGCTTTCAAAAGCCAATAGGAATTGTCCAGGCTGTCTCTGCCCTGCTGAGCCCGCCAAAAGTCCCATTCTGCAAACAGTGCTGCACCAGTTGAGTAGTCCTCGACTTATGACCGGTTGAGTAGTCCTCGACGTACAACCGGTTGGGGTCACGGCATTAAAAAGGTTGAGAACCACTGTCCTACAGCATCTTGATATGAGTGCCTTTGCAGCATAGGCTTTAACAAAATATTAATAGTTTCTGGATTAGCTTGTATATTCACTAACTGCTGTTCTATCAAAATGAGACATGAAGCTCTGCCTCTTGATTTTTCAAAATGGGAATGATGTAAAAAACCAACAACCCTGGTATAGTTATCCGGTTAATTTGAACATCATTACTAGGAGTGCTGAATTAC